CATGCATGGTAGGCAAGCGCTATGTACAGAGCTACAGCCCCAGCCCCATATTTTTGTTTTTTTGGTACTGAGATTGAACCTAGGGGCACTTTTTTTGAGCTATATCCCTAGCCCTTTTTGTTTTGTTTTTGAGACAGGGTCTATGCCAATTTGCTGGGGCTGGCCTCAAACTTGAGACCCTCCTGTCTCAGTCTCCTAAATCTCTAGGATTATAGGTAGGTACCACCATCTCAGTTTTTGGTACTTTTTCAACAATCTGCCTAGAATATAATAAGGATTCTTTATCATATCAAAATAAGTTCCTGTGTTTCATGCAATCATTATTGTATCCTGGTTATCTAAAATTTCGTCTTCTCAAGTTAAAAGAGTTAATCTTTCACGGTCTTGTTATTGCTTATATTTACTTTTATCTTTAATTATTTTACTGGTATGGCAGATGGAATTCCCTGCTTCAGTTCAAGTCAGCCAAGCTCTACAACTGAGCTACACTCTCCATCCGTGTCACAATAATCTCAATGTCATTTCAATTAAATAGGTAACTAAGTTAGGGCTGAGGATATAGCTCAGTGGTAAAGCTTATAAGGCCATGAGTTAAATCCTTAGCACTGCAAAAGAAAAAAAAAATTCTGTATAACCTTTCTCAAGTTACATTTGTATCGGTAAAAGTTAATTTAAGGACTTCAGAAATTGGGTGAAGTCCCTAGTAATTTGTCAATGCCCATTATATATCTTCATATAATGTTAGCAGTCACACAGTCATAATTATAATCATTATTTAAAAACTTGGTGGGGTCACCAAAACAATTTTGCATCATTTTGTAAAGAACTCTTATTAAACCTTTAATCACCTCACGTTCAGTCTTTAATCATCACAAATAGCTGTTTTACTCTGATGCTTTCTTAAAAGCTCTTGCAATCAATTACAGGCCAAAGTGCTTCGTCTCCAATACCACGGAAAGGCCTCTGAAGGCAACTCTGAGGCACAGGCTTCTGATGGTATCACTTTGAGACCATGCCACTGGGCTGGGACAGGGTCTCCAGAATTCCAGCTGAGAATCTCATGGGGTCATGATACTTGGGGTCAAAACAAAAATTAGGGGGCTGGAGATGTGGCTCAAGCGGTAGTGCGCTCGCCTGGCATGCGTGCGGCCCGGGTTCGATCCTCAGCACCACGTACAAACAAAGATGTTGTGTCAGCCAAGAACTGAAAAAATAAATATTAAAAAAAAAAAAATTAGGTATAGGGACTGGAGGTGTAGCTCAGCAGAAAAGTGCATGATTAGCATGCATGAGGCTGTGAATCTTCACCACCAGCAAACACACACACACACACACACACACAAACACAGCCTTTCTCTGGGGTGGGGGCTTAGATCAGTGGTAGAGCACTTGCATGCTCAAGGACCTGGGTTCAATCCCCAGCACAGGAAAAAAAAAATGTGCTTTGATTATCTTTGCTCAAAAAGAGGTTATTTTTTGTTCAACATCTCTAATAATGAAAGAAATGCAAATCAAACCTATTCTAAGATTTCCTCTCACACCAGTCAGAATGGCAGTTATCAAGAATACAAACAACAATAAATGTTGACAAGGATGTGGGGGAAAAGGCACACTCATATATTGCTGGTGGGACTGCAAATTGGTGCAACCAATCTGGAAAGTAGTATGGAGATTCCGTAGAAAATTTGGAATGGGACCACTATTTGACCCAGCTACCCCACTCCTCAGTCTATACCCAAAGGACTTAAAATCAGCATACTATAATAATGCAGCCACATCAATGTTTACAGCAGCTCAATTCACAAGAGCTAAACTGTAGAACCTTTCAATAAATGAATGGACAAAGAAACAGTGGAATATTACTTAGCATTAAAAGAGAATAAAATTATGGCATTTGCAGGTAAATGGATAGAGTTGGAGAATATCATGCTAAGTGAAGTAAGCCAATCCCCAAAAAACAAAGGCAGCATCTGATAAGTGGATGCTGATCCATAATTGTGGGGGGTGGGGGAGAAATGGAGGAACTGTGATTTGGCAAAGGGGAGAGGGCATGAGGGCAGGAAAGATGGTAGAATGAGTTGGACATCATTACCCTAGGTACATGTATGACTGTACATATGGTGTGACACTTCATCATGTACAACCAGAGAAATAAAAATTTGTGCTGCAACTATGTACAATGAATCAAAATGCATTCTGCTGTCATATATACTTAATTAAAATAAATTAGTTAATTAAAATTTTTAAAAAGAGGTTATTTTTAAGTTAGGTCTTTTTTTGTGGTTGTTGTTTTGGTACCGGGGATTGAACTCAGGGGTACTCAAACACTGAGGCATCTCCCCAACCCTATTTTGTATTTTATTTAGAGACAGGGTCTTTTTTTTTTTTTTAGAGAGAGAGAGAGAATTTTTTAATATTTATTTTTCAGTTTTCGGTGGACACAACATCTTTATTTTATTTTTATGTGGTGCTGAGGCTCGAACCCAGCGCCCTGCGCATGTCAGGCGAGCACGTTACCGCTTGAGCCACATCCCCAGCCCCAAGAGACAGGATCTTGATGAGTTGCCTAGTGCCTCGCTGTTACTGAGAATGGCTTTGAACTTGTGATCTTCCTGCCTCAGCCTCTCAAGCCACTGGGATGGCGGGCGCCACTGCGCCCAGCTATTTTTATGTTTTGATGGAGAAGTATAATACACCTTTATAGGTTATCAGATTCTGATTTTTTTATGATCTACCTATAAATTGGGTTGGACCTTGATTTCTTATTCATTTTGCCAGCCCTTAAATACTCAGATACACTTTCCTTCAATATTTGGCTACAGAGCACCAAAATGTTGTTTTTGATTTTTCTTCTTCCATTCTGACTTGGTGTCACTGAGAACAAAACCTGATAGTCTGAATCTTTACTGGGACTCGAGCTGGCTGTCCTGCCCTATCAGAATCTGAAAAAGCACTGCAGGCTAAAGCCAGGCAATTTGATAATAGACTTCAAAGAACTCATCACCACACTAAATAGTCTATGTGCAACCGTCGTGCCTAGAGCTGCTACCACATAAGCCACGAAGTCCTCTCCAACTCCTACAAGTTTCATACTCTGCTCCAAGAAATAACTACAATGCTGACACTGATGTCTATGCCTTCACCACACACATTCGGACTTCAAAATCTGGGCAATCCATGAAGCTGCTACTGCTGTCCACATTCTACCACTTAAAAAGACAGTTAAGAGGGACTGGAGTTGTGGCTCAGCGGTACAGCGCTTGCCTAGCATGTGAGGCACTGTGTTCGATTCTCAGCACTGTATATAAATAAATTAATTACATAAAGGTCCATCAACAAGTAAAAAAAAAAAATTTTTTTTAAAAGACACTTAAGATTCAGACACCCAGAAATTACTGCCCGCTAGTCTCAAAAGCTGGGTTTAGGCACACACCTGTAATCCCAGCAATTTAGGAGGCTAAGGCAGAAGAACGGCAAGTTCAAAGCCAGACTCAGCAACCCAATGAGGCCCTAAATAACTTAGTGAGACACTGTCTCAAAATAAAAAAAATTAAAAAGGGCTGGGGATGTGGCTCAGTGGTTAAGCGCCCTTCAGTTCAATTCCTGATACCCCGCCCCCCCAACAAAAGCTGGGTTTAGAGGTCAACTCCAACCATTAACCTTTATTTTTCTATTTTCACTGAAATGCTCCTCATTAAATACCTGATCACTTACACCATACAGCAAATATCTTCATCCTAGTTCAGCTAGTCCTTCACAAACAAAAGGCTATGGAACAGAAAATGGACTTCTATTATTAGGGAAGAAGAATGTCTCTTGAACAAGAACACTGACAAGATCCTCTCTGTCCAAACTCCAACCATTAAGGCTCCTTCTAAATACTAAGTTTCTAATAGCTCATGACTGCATCCCTAGGATAGCCCTAACCCCCTCAAAATGCCTAAGAAAATTCAAGAATGCAGCAAAATTCAAGGGCCCCGGGGCAAATCCATTTGGCCTTCCCAGGAACCCACCCTCCTTCCCTGATTTTTGTAAATGCTTACTTCCTTGACCCTACTGCACTCTTTACTCCCCCATACCCCTGTGAAACACTCAGTCACCTCTGCACAAATCAGAATGGAGCTCAACTCTTTCCCCTACTATTACTAGTTCCTGAGTAAAATTTGTTTTTGCCACATCAACTAGTGTCGAGTTGTATTTCTCTGTGATATGCTGTCCTCCTCATTGAGCCTTGCAGGGTACCCCAGAGTCCCTCCAGGAAGCAGCAAGTACTGAGGCATGGAGAACCATGTTTAATAAATGCAGTAGGGCATCAAAATCTCTGGCTGGAAAAATCTGAAATGCTGATCTGCTAGCAGGGCAGGTGTGGCGAGCCTCCTGCAATAACACAAAGCTCAGCCTTGGGGGGTCCTGGACTCTGATTGGTCCCCCTTCCAGGTCAGGAAGCCACTCGCTTGCATACTCTTCCTGGGTCCCTAAAACTCTCTGATCTGAGGGTCTGATCCTTATCTAAGGACCAAGTAGGATCCTCCAGTGGGTCGGGTCCTGGTTTTGCCACATCCTCACCAGGTCAAGCTATGCTCCAGGGATAGACCTACCCTTTCAGTCTGTAAGTCTTGATCCCCATCCGTGGTAGAAGAACAGATTTCCTACCCTGTCTCGAGGCTCCAACTCCAGCACAGATCTTCAAATAACCACCTCCCCATTACACACACGCACACACACAGTCTGGTGCCCAGACCCTGTCCAGAGACCCTCACAGAAGATCAGAACCCCTAAAGGCTATCCAAATTCCCCATCCTTCCAAAACTCCCCACTTTAAATACATCTTCCAACCCAGGTCCGCAGACCCACGCCCAAGGGCAGATTCCTACACTCCGGCCCAAATTCCCCAGCTCAGGTTGGAATCACCAACCCAGGTCCGGAGACTCTCCTACTCTTTCACTGCCGGCCAAATACCCCACCCATAAGCCCATCCCTTGGCTCACCAGCTTACTCACCTCGCTCAAGGCCGCGCTCCCTGGACTGCCGGACGCGCTGGGCGCAGGCAGCGCGGAGGGCAGCCCCGGCAACTGAGAGGTCCCGACACGATGGCGGCGATGGCGGCGGCTCTGCGGGGGCCCGGCCGGCGCTTCCGGTGGCGGACGCAGGCCTTGGCGGGAGGGGTGCGGGGTGCGGCTCGGGGCGTGGCAGGTAGGGTGGGCGACCTAGGGAGCGACCGAATCCCTGAGGCTGGGGGCGGGGGTGCCCACGTGGGGGTGTCCGCGTGGCCTGGTACACGGTGAAGTGCGTAGGTGTCGACGTGGGGGGTGTTCTTGTGCGGGCGGGCGTGCCCGTGCTGACCCTGGGTAGGGCATGTATCCATAGGAGAGTACTCCTGGGTTGGGGGACGGGGTATCCGTACGGAGATTGTTCAGTGGGGGTGTTGGCTGCTTCTAGCTAGGTAGCCTCCTCAGATGGGGAAACAGGTTGGTGGACTTGCGGAGATCATCCAGTACTGGCTGCACCTGCAACCTCCAGGAGCTGTCTCTCCCCACCCCCACCCGCCGCCACCCCAGCTCAATATTAACTGTAGTTCTGACTAGGATGATGTCCCCACTCTTGGGGTCATCTGGCACCCCACGGGCCACACCATGAGCACCTCCTCATCGAACCACTGGCTATGGTAGGGAATGAATGAGAGGAAACTAAGACCAATGGGTTCTGGGGACCCAATGCACATGGGAGTCTGTGTTAGGGAAAGACTGAGCCTCATTGACCAAATTAGGACAATAATCATTAACTTTAAGTGGCCAGAAGTCTGGATCCTTATTAGGACTCAAGTTGTCTTGCAGCTGTCCTGTCCCATCCAAGCTGAAAAAGCACTGCAGGCTAAAGTCAGACAATTTGATATAGACTTCAAAGAACCCATCACCACACTAAATAATCTGTGTGCAGAGGATAGGCAAGTCACTCAGAACAGTTCACACTGCACCCTACAGAACTGGCAACAGTGCCACCACATCTGGGATGGTGAGGCCAGTCCCATGCATGAACCTGCACAGTAACCACCCCACCACCATTGCCCCAGCGCTATTCCCTGGACTTTAGTGACAGAGCTCAACTCTCCCCCATGGGAGTGAGTGTGGAGGGCTGTGAGTAAGGACACATCACGGCATCTTCACAAAAATGGCTGCCTGGGAAGCAGAGTGGCTGGCACTCAGCCAGCAGTTGATTCAGGAGGGATTGCTGCTGACTGCATATATGAATGGGCAGAGCTGTTAGTGTTGGAACCTTGGGATGCCTTGGGGCTGAAGGTGGCCCTACAGAGCCCCAGGAGGTGGTCACCATGTCCTGAGGTGAAAACCTAGAGGAACCTAAGTCTGCTCTTATGGGTTACCTATGCTGACCCTGAGACTTTGGAAAGTGCTATCTTTTGGAGCCTCCTTGTTGCATATGTCAGGTAGGAACATTCATATGGATTAAATGCACCCATATCAGTGAAGCTATTACCCTGTTTAGTGGCATTAAAAGATCCATTAGTGCATTAACAGGAGCAGTGCTTGTGGTCACACATCCAGGGCCTTCAGGCTGGTGGGTAACTGTGGCCTTGGGGCCAGGCATTTCATTTTAGCTGGGCAGGAGGCACTGCTGCCCTGAGGATTCTGTTCCTGGAACCCAGGGAGTGCTGGCAGTAAGTGGAAGACCCCAGGACCTTCTGGAGTCATAGTCTAGGCCCTGGAGAAGGTGCCAACTCTCTTAACGATGATTCCAGAATCCAATTTTGAGTCTCCTCCATTTCAGCCTGACAGTTTCTCCTTTCAGAGAAGAAACATCTTCCCTTTTGAGCTTGAGGGAACAGCTGATATAACTCCTGAATGGGAACTAGAATGACAGCACTGCTGGAGTCATCTGTCACCCTAACACCTGCTAACAGAAAAGAGCTTGAAGCAGGAAGAATAGTTTTTCAGGAATCTCCTGAAGGTGACTCCCTTAGGGGTGGCCAGCCCACCTACAGGTACACAACCATTTTGCAGGTCTTCTTACCCTTGTTAGAACATTGTACCACTCATTTGGTCTTTGCCATACTCACTGGGCTCCTGTTCTTAGCTGGCCCTGTACTAGGCATTGGATCCAGAAAGGAACAGAAAATTAAAAAATAATGTGGTAAGAAGGTAGAGATGAGGCAAAGACAAGTTCTGGAGCCAAGCCCTGTGGGCAGGGAGGTTGTGACCGGCTCAAGTGATTGAAGGCCAGGTTGTTAGTTTTCCCATCAAGTAATACCTGCTGTGCTCAGTCCCACCTCATCCACCTTTGGAGTACTTGCTCTCAACAGGCTACTCAGAGCCTCCCAAACACTTGGAGATATCTTGCACTTGCAAACTGCTCTACTGCAGGACCTTTTTCCAAATGTTAATCAGGCTGAGAGTGCTCCTAGTTATGCACAGGGAGATAGCAAAGGGCCCAAGATAAGTCCACAATTCACAAACAGCCAGTCCTGTTTGCTGGCTGATAGCAGGCAGGCAGAGGGCAGGCAGAGGGCTTTGGGGCAGGACAACTCTGGACAACCCGCTCTGGTTACAGGAAGGACAGGTATTTGCAATGGAAGGTAGGACTCTCCAGGACGAAGCATTGCTTCCCCTACCCTCAATCCCTTGAGCCTCTGCCCTGCTCCCACCTCATCCCTAGTAGCAGGAGAGGAGAGAGACCCTGACCCATATTTTTGTGATTCCTGGAGCTCTGTGGCAGTCTTCCCTTCTACCACCAGTTGTCCTTGGTACTTTTGGCTCATACTAAAACCATCAGAATAATTTACAGCTTGTCAGGCTTTTTCAGAGTCCTTGAATTGAACATGGAATTGGGTGTGCTTTATAATGGCTGCTTGAGTTAGCTGTGACTCCTTTGTGTTCATTCGTTCAAATAATGGCTGCTGGACAGGACTTTGAGTGGGTCTAGTTGTGAGGCAGGCCAGTTGCAAGCCATAGGCCTCCTTCAGGCTCCAGTTCTGTGTTCCTATAAGAGTACAGGCCCTGTTTGCTCAGCCAGAGACCCTGAGGTGCAAGGAAGCCCCAGCATATCCTCTTCATCCTTGCCAGACCAAGAAGGCCGGTGGCTGCAAAGACAGACACAGCTTTTCCCCCACAGATGCTAGATTTTGATGCTGGTAGGGGAAGATGCCTCAGCCTTGGATGGCAGGCACTTTGGTCATGGGACCCCTGGGCCTTACTTGGAAACAGTGGCCAACTTCAGAGGATGGCATTTCAGGCAGGCTCATGTCTGTAGAGGTACTGAAGGCACTATTTGTTTATATCCTGGCCTGGTACCAGTCCTCACCATGCCCTAACCCTGATACTTTTCTATTATTCCTTCCTCGATGGAGTGGCCTGATGCCTGGTGCTGGGTATCCCCAACTTCAGGCCCAGGTTAAAGCATTCTCCCCTCTCCTTCCTTCATCTTCACCCATCACCTGTTACTTGCCTGCCTTTCATACAGCAGCTTGCAGAGTGGAGGAGTGAGACAGCAGACTGGTCAGAAAGGCTCTGAGCAGCCCTCTGTGCTGTGAGTAAGCTATGGTGTGAGCTTCCAAAAGGGATCCCAGGGAGGAAGCCTGAGCCCAGGCAGCTCTACTGGTGTCCAGGGTCCTTTCCCTCCTATACTTTACCATGTAGTCTGGCACACTGAAACACCTTTGTTTGTCACAGACTTCCATGTGGCGGGGGGCTGTACTTTTTCTTCTTGCTAACTTCTAACAAAGGATCACCTTTACAACTGGAACAAACATGAACTCAAGGAAAATATTTTAGTTCTGTCTGGCTCAGAACACTGAAGGTTAAATTCTGAGAAGTGCTGCCAGGGTGTGAGTGGCAGTGTGGTAGGGAGAATGGTCTGCAAAGGTGTTCATGCACACCTGCTGCCAACTTTGCCTCACTTTGCTTAGATTCTGGCTTTGTGTGGAAGACATGTATGGAGTCACTTTCTGCTCTGATTCATGATGCTGATGTGTTTTCAGCCCTAACTGCCACAGGATGGAATTTTCCATCCTAATATGGAATCGCCCATCCTGATAAAATAAATGCTGCACCATGTTTAAACAGAGACCCTTTGGAGATCACAGGGGCTCTTCTGGTTCTGATTTCTTTACTTCTCACCTCATTCTTTCCTTAGCAGGACAACAGGACTATGATCTCCTGGTGATTGGTGGGGGATCTGGTGGCTTGGCTTGTGCCAAAGAAGGTATGTATGTCCCTGGAGAGGTGGCATTGTGGACGTGGGCCTCAGTATCCACAAGTAGAGTACAGCTGACCTGCTTGGTCACCCAAGCAACCTCCTAGTTATGCCCTGCTTCCCACCATGGCATAGTTTGGTGTCTGCCACACATGGCAGTCACAGCAGTACTTGAAGTCTGAGCACAGTCTTTACTCAAAGTGGAGGTCCTTGGGCCTCACAGGATCTGACCTCATCCATCCAATTTCAGCAGCTACCCACCCCCACTGCCCTGCCTCCTTACTGTTCTGCACATCCTTTCAGAAGTGCTTATGTCCTTCTTGCCCTGGCAGCTTGATTTGTTGGTCTGTTGTTTGCCCACCAGGTTAGCTGGGGGTCTCACTCATCTCTCTTCAGTCTTTGCTGAGATGGCTATACTTAGAACTGCACACTCCCACTGTATAATCCCTGTCACTAGCTCCTCTTCCTTGTTCTTAGTGCTTTGCCTTCCCAAAGAGACCACAGTTGCCTCTGCAAATCATGTCTGGACCTAAGTCTGGTACTCAGTAAAGACATGGTGGATGATACATCCAGAGACCTTACCTTTCAGTTCACTGATAATCTAGTAGTGCAGTTCACTGGGACTCATTGAACTGCTATAGGAAACTTGCAGTCTAATTGTTGATCCCTTCCCGCCTCCTCTCTTCTTGCTTTTCTTTTCTTTTTTTTTTTTTTTTTTTGGTACCGGAGATTAAATTCAGGGACACTGGACTGATGAGCCACATTCCCAGCCCTATTTTGTATTTTATTTAGAGACAGGGTCTCACTGAGTTACTTAGTGCCTTGCTTTTGCTGAGGCTGGCTTTGAATTCACGATCCTCCTGCCTCAGCCTCCAGAGCTGAGCCACTGTGCCCAGCCTAGTTTGCATTTTCTAAAGTTTTATATAGATGGAATCATATATAAAACTTTCACTGACTTCTTTCACTTTGCATCTTTATTTTGAGAATCATCCCTGTTGCTACATGTATGTACAGTTTATTCTTGTTTATTGATGAACAGTATACCACCTGTAGGAATTTGATCACCTGCATATGGTCATTTTTGTTTTTGTTTGTTGGTTTTGGCTATTGAATATGGTGCTGCTGTAAACATTTGTATGTATGTTTCTGGGGATGTATGTTTAAAATTCTCTTGGGTAAATGCCTAAATTTGGACGAATTGAGTCGTGATATATCTCTAATTTAGATATTTTTTTTTTCATTTCTCTCAGCAGTATTTTGCAGTTTTCATTATACAGATCTTTCACATCTTTTGCTGGACTTACCCCTTTTTCATATAACAGTTTTGAAATATGTCACATACCATGTGATTTACTCATTCTGTGTACATTATTCAGTGTTTTTAAAAATATATTTGCAGAATTGTTCAACTAGCACCACAATCAACTTTAGAACATTTTCATCTCCCTACCCTGAAATACTCTGTACCCATTAGTACATTCCCTCTTCTCTTTGCTCCTGGCACCCTCACTCAGCTACTTCCTGTCTCTTTGTGGATTTGCCTGTTTTGGAATGGGATCATACTGGTCTTTTGTCATTGTTCCTTTTACTTAGCATGTTGTCTTCTGTGTTCATCCATGATACAGCTTTTGGTTCCTTCTGTGGTGGTTAATTTACATTGTACATATAGATCATATTTTGTCTATGCATTTGTTAGGTGACTGACATTGAGTCATTTAAACCCTCTTTTCAGCTATTATGAGCAATGCTGCTGTGAACATCTATATGTTGGTTTCTTTTTTAAAATTTTTTTTAGTTGTAGATAGACACAATATCTTTTTATTTATTTGTATGTGGTGCTGAGAATCGAACCCAGTGCCTCACACGTGGAAGGCAAGCGTTCTACCACTGAGCTAGAGCCCCAGCCCCTATATGTAAGTTTTTGTGTGGACATATGTTTCTGTTTCTCTTTGGTATTTACCTAGGAGTGGAGTCATAATAGTAACATCTGGGTCATAAGGAAACTCTATGTTTAATCTTTTGAGGAATTGTCAGTCTTCCAAAGTGACTGGCATCATTTACAATGCCATCATCAATGTACCAGGTTCCACCTTCTCCATATCCTCACTAATTCTTTGTTATCTGTCATCTTAAGTAGGTATGAATGGTATTTCATTGTGGTTGATTTACATTTCTCTAATAATTAGCATTGTTGAGCATCTTTTCTTGTGCTTATTAGAAATTTTTTTGAGGAATGTCTATTCAAAATCTTTGCCTATTTTTTAAAATGAATTGTCCCCCCCCCCCACATACACACACACACACAATACATATGTTCATATCTCCAAGTTTTTCTTCTATGTCTGGATCTGTAGACTCCAGATGTAACCAAGAAAATTTTTGATAACTTGCCTTTATTTATTTGGGGGTTGTAGATGGACACAATACCTTTATTTTATTTATTCATTTTTATGCATTGCTGAGGTTCAAACCCACTGCCTCACACATGCTAGGCAAGTGCTCTCCCATTGAGCTACACCCTCAGTCCTGATTACTTGCCTTTTTAATTAAGGCTGTGAATACTCTTACAGGTTCAAGTTTTTATACATTCAAAACCATTTCTGGTATCTTTTGAGTTTATCTAAGCCATTAATTTGACTAATGAGTCCTACTTTCAAAGCATTTCTAACTGTTCTCCAGAATTTAAGAGTTAGCCTATGTTTCTTAGAAATTCTGAAAACACAGAACAAACAGGAACCAAACTAAGGGGTCTGAGTTATAGCGAGGAATGAAGCAAGAAGGAACACTTCCTTAACATAGAAGGCCCTGGGTTCAATCCTCAACACTGCAAAAGTTTGATAAGTAAGATAATAAGAGAAAAATCTTACATACTTACCCATGTATTTCCCATTTCTAGTGTTCTTCATTTCTTTGTGTAGAGACATTTTTTACCTATTATCATTTTTCTTCTACCCCCTTTTTTTTTTCTCAGTACTAGAGCTTGAACCCAGGGGCACTACCACTGAGTTATATCCCCAGCTGTTTTAATAAGTTTATTTATTTTTATTTTGAGACAAGATCTTGCTAAGTTGCCAAGGCTGGCCTCAAATTGCAATCCTCCTACTGTAGCATCCTGGGTAGCTGGTGTTACTGGTGTCTACCACCAAGCCCTTCACTTTTCTTCTACCTTGAAGATGTTCTTAAACAATTCTCACAACATGGTTCTAGTGGTAATAGGTTCTTTTAGCTTTTTTTTTTTCTTCCCCAGTACAGGGAATTGAACCCAGGGCCTTGCACATGCTAAGCAAGTGTTCTACCAGTGAGGTACATTTCCAGTCCTTTTTATTTTTATTTTGAAACAGGGCCTCACTAAGTTGCTGAGACTAACCTCAACTTGATCTTGCCTCAGCCTCCCAAGTGGCTGGGATTATAGATGTGTCCCATTACCACTCCCAGTTTGCCTTTAATTTTTAAAAGACATTTTCTTGGGGAATAGAATTCAAGTAGACAGTTTTTTTCTTTAGTATTTTAAAGATTTTGCCCCTTTCTCTTTTCACTTGTACTATTTCCAATGAGAAATTATAACAAAGTCTCTTTGAAATTAAAAGCCCCAAAGTACTTTTTGCTTCCCAACTTCCTGGTGACTGATTTTCTGCATCCAGAGTTTCTTCATGCTAAGAATGTAAACTGGAGAAACTACCCTCTGCCCTGGAGCTGTCACCAAGGAAACTAAAATTGTAACAAAGTTCTTGTTAGCACAACCTAGCTAAATCTACATGTGTATATTTTCTGGTTTACGATTTTATAAATTGTAATTGCTTCTATGGGACCACTTCTATAAGACCAGCAGAGACAGATTCGTTGCTTTTCCTCATTTTAACCTAACTGCAATTAAATTCATTTTTCCTTTTATTTCTTAGTTGTGCAGGCACCCAATTCCAGTCAGTCGGAATCTTGGCAGGTTCTCTGGCTTGGTTTCTGGTGACAAAATGTGCTGCCATCTTTATCTTTGTTGCTCATTAGTATATCTTTTTTTTCTCTGACTGCTTTTTGAATTTTCTTTCTTCATTGTTTTTGAGCAATGTTGTTTGTTGTTATTGTTGCTTTATTTGTGGTACTGGGTACTGAATCCAGAGCCTTGTGCATGCTAGGCAAGCACTATCACTAAATTTTGGTGTACCTTGATTAGTTTTCTTATTGTTTTTTTTTTTTTTTTTTTTTCCTAGAGTTTGTTGAGCTTTTTGGGTCTATGGGTTTATAGTTTTCATTAAGCTGTGAAATTTTATAATCATTTTCTCAAATATTTTTTCCATCCCCACCCCCTCACTGTTGGAGATTTTAATTACATGTATATTAGGCTGCTTTTCATTAAAACAAACAAATAAAAAAATTCTTATTATCTCTGTGTTTTATTTTGTAAATTTCTATTCTTGTTTTCAAATTCACTAATAATAGATTTTGCAGTGTCTAAATCTGTCATTAATACCATTCATTGTATTTTTCATCTTTTATATTATAGTTTTTATCTCTATAAATTAACTTAGGTCCTTGTATCTTCCATGTTCCTCCTTAATTGTTTTGAACATATGGAATAGTTATGAGTGTCTTACTGGTCCTTTGACATTTAAATCAGTTCTTGGTTTCCATTGACTATTTCCATCTTTATGTGTTGTATGTATTTTCTTGCTTCTTTGTTTGCCTAGTAATTTTTGGTTGAATGCCAAACATTTTGAATTCACCTTGTTGGGTTCTGGACATTTTCGTATTTCTAGAAATATTATTAAGGTTCATTCTGGATGTAGGTAACTTATTAAGAAAGGGTTTGATCCTTCTGCCTAGTATTTGTTAGGTGAGGACTAATTATTCTCAACTCCTGAAGCATGACCTTCCTTAGAACTTATGCATAGTCCCAGGAATTGTATATATATATATTTTATCTGTCTTCTGGGAATGGGCACTATTTCCTGCCCTGTGCAAGTGCTGTCTGCTCTAATCCTTTTGGTAGTTCAGACTCAGATAGTTTCCTCAAGTGCATGTGCTGATCTGGCTCTTCCCTCTCTTTCTGTCCCATGAACTCTGGACACCTCAGAATCTCAGCCCCTCCTCTCTTTCACTGGGTCTGCCTTACCTGAAATGTTGGATCCAGGAAACTCTATAGTCAATTTCACCTTGTTCACGTCTTGAATCTCGGATCCTTTGTTGCCTAATGTCCAGTGTTTTAATAATTTATTGTTTCATATATTTTGTCTGAATTTTTGGTTGTTTCAGGTGGAAGGCTAAATTTGGCCACTGTTGCTCCATCATGGTCAGACTTGAGAATTTGACATTGATATTTTAATGATTCCCATCAGCCCAAGCTTTTAACTTAAGTGTGGGAATCTTATTTTTTGGACAAGTTTTGGCTAAATTGCCCAGGATGACCTTAAACTTGGCAACCCTCTTGCCAAATGCCCCTGTACCCAGCTGGATTATCATCATTAATCACTTGAGGAAAGTAGATTTTTAAGATGAACTCTTCTGCCAGGTGTGGTAGCACACACTGTAAACCCATCTACTCAGGAGGCTAAGGCAGGAGAATCACAAGTTTGAGGCCACTCTGGGCTATTTGGTGAGACCCTATCTCAAAATAAACTTTTTAAAAGAGATTGTGATTTGCCAGACATGGTGATGCACACCTGTAATCCCAGCAGCTTGGGAGGCTGAGACAGGAGGATCCCAAATTCAAAGCCAGCCTCAGCAACTTAGGTCCCAAGCAACTCAGCAAGACCCTATCTCTAAATAAAATATAAAAAAGGACTGGGTAGGGGGCTGGGATTGTGGCTCAGCAGTAGAGCACTCGTCTAGCACATGCGAGGCCCTGGGTTCGATCCTCAGTACCACATTAAAAAAAAAAAAAAAAAAGGACTGGGGATGTGGCTCAGTGGTTAAGCACCCTGGGTTGAATCCCTGCACACACACACACACACAAAAAAAAAAAAAGTTGGGGGGAGCTGGGTAATATACTTTCGTGATAGAGCACTTGCCTGTCATGTGTAAGCCCTGGGTTCAATCCCATGTACTGCAAGGGAAAAAAAAAAAAAAGAACCTTCTAAAACTTTGTTCTCTAGTCTTGCTTTCTAATAGCTATGAATTTTTGTGTTCTTTTATGTTTTGAATACTTCTGGGTTCATGAAATTTAAGCCCCGCATGCCCTCAGAGATAGTCAAATCCAGGGCCCAGGGTTTACCAATGTACTTCCCAAGGTAAATCAAAGGGATGCCTGGCAATTAATTAACTCTACTAATGGTTCAAGAGTTGGCCTCAAAACCTGAGGATTGAGGCCCTCAACCCTCTGCTAATGACTGGGAGGTCAACTGGTAGCTACATGGCAGGGAATCTGTTTAGACTCTAGGTCTCCCCTTCTTCTCTGGGAGATGATCAACCTTGGACTTAATGTTTCACTTCTAAACTTTGATGTTTTTCAACCTGAGAGGGAGGCAAGTAAATGCCCTGATGAGGCCAGGTCATGTTCATTCTCACTATTTGGAAAAGAGGTGAGCCAGTGAGAAGAGTCTGGGCTTCCCAGAACAGATAGAGATTAGGGGTCCTCTCCCAGGGAGGTGGGTTGCTCCTGGGATACTCCCTATGTAATTGAGGTGTGCACTGAATTTATTCCAAACATATGGTCCTGAAACTAATAGGAGCAAGAGCCAAGTGGGGATTGGTCCCAATGTCATCTTGGAAGGGGATGTGAAGGCTGCAGTATGAGAAGAGGCCTAAGGGCTCCCTCCTTTGAGCAACATAGCTTATTGGACAGTGGGAAGGCCAGAAAGTTGGTGCAAAGCTAGTAGGCAGTGTGGCCTTATGGGCCAGAATACCAGGGTAGATGGGACAGAGTCACTAACATTATCAGCTTGGCCACCATGAGGGCAGAAGCTAGCCCAGGCCCTTCCCCACCTTCTTTTCAGTTTTATGGGCCTCTGGTAGCCCCTGTTCCCCAGCCCCCGGCCACCTTTCCTGCTGTGCTTATCTTCAGTTCTTTTGTCATTCTAGCTGCTCAACTGGGAAGGAAGGTGGCTGTAGTCGACTATGTGGAGCCCTCTCCCCAAGGTAGGCAGTCCCTGATAGGAACCTTGTGTCCTAGGGAAGGGTTTGGGAGATGGAACCTAGTTCATATATAGAAGGTGACTGATACAAAATCATTTGTCCCCCTCTGTTCATTGTCTCTGGAGAGTGTCCTATTTCAGATGTAAACTGTCTTTATTTTAAAAATTCTTTACCCTCATGTTTAAAATGGTGCTGAACACAGTTACAGAGAGAATATTCCTATGGTATGACTCACCTGGGCCATGTTTGAATTACAGAACAATGGCCACTTAAAGGGATTCTAAACCACCATAGAGCAGAAGTCCTCCTGTGCGTCTCTGTATATGAATTCAAATGTGATTTTCCCAGGGCTGGGAATATGGCCAATGAAAATAGTGAAAGAGTACTTGCCTAACATGTGAAAGGCTCTGGGTTTGATTCTTGGCACTACAAAAAAAAAAAAAAGTGCACTTCCCAATGTTGCAGGCACCAAGTGGGGCCTTGGCGGCACCTGTGTGAATGTGGGCTGCATCCCCAAGAAGCTGATGCATCAGGCGGCACTGCTTGGGGGCATGATCCAGGATGCCCACCACTATGGCTGGGAGGTGGCTCAACCCATCCGGCATGACTGGTGAGGAGCTCATTATGGGAAGTTCCCAGTTCTTTTCTGCTACTCTTAAGTAGAGGAAGAGATTTATTCCCTACTAACTCTCACTGGGAGCAGCTATAGGACAGGAGCTTTCAACTAGGGGTAGCTCTGAACCTGAATCCCCAGATATTTGGCAATCTCTGGAGACACTTTTGGTTTTCCCTGGGTCGGGGAAGGGTTTGCTTCATTTCCTGAGTAAAACCCAGGGATGCTGCTAAATGTCCTACAGTGCATGGAATAGGCCTACCAAGAATGATCCAGCCCCAAAGGCCAATGTGGGGACATAAAGCCTCTTCGGTTTAGTTCTTTTGGGAAGAAGATTGATGGAGGCAGTAGCACATGGTTCTGCTCAGAGCTCACATACAGGTGACTGAGACAGGATGTTGCCTGCCAGGTATGACGTCCTGGATGCAGAACCACTACATTTGAATGATTGTGGGCCAAAGCCTCTGTTTCCTGATTTCAAAGATTCATAGCCCCAAACTCTGGTGAGAGGTCATGATGCCCATGAGGAAGAACATCACATTGTACTCCTTTAGACACACTTCCACTTCTTAATATTTAGATAAATGTACTATTTGCATCTAGTCTGTTTGAGATTCCATAGTTAACACTTCTATTGTGGTTTTTACATTTTGTTTTCTGTTTCAAAGGAGGAAAATGGCAGAAGCTGTGCAAAACCATGTGAAGTCCCTGAACTGGGGGCACCGTGTCCAACTGCAGGACAGGTACTGAGACTTCCACAGTCCTTAGTGGCTATGTAGTGAGGCCCTCAGTGGGAAAACTCCCCTCCTGGCCTTCCCAAATTCTATTCATACCTGGACAAGCTCTTTCTGATTGTGCAGAGTAAACCCTGGTAGGCTGTAAATGCACAGCCAAGATAGGACAAGGGGTCCATTCTCCTGGGTGGGAACACAGACAAGGGGTGGACAGAGCAACTGCTGTGGGAAGTGGGGGATGCCCTCGAGGCCCAGAACTGAGTAGAACCCAGGGACAATGAAGAGTTAAAGAGGGACATATATCCAAATAGCCAGAGCCTGATGAGAAAAGAGGTCATTCAGGGACAGGGAGGCCTCAGGCCTGAGGTCTTCCTGGGACTCCACAATGGGCAGCTTCCCACTCAAGCCAGGGAAGCTGAACCAAGGAAGCTGGCCCCCTTGTCCACTGCCTGGACTTCACCAGCCAGTTGCCCTACCAGAAAACTAAGCCACCTTTTGTTACAGTTTTTTGTGTCTTGTCTTTCATATGGAGCTCCATATTCCCAAGTTTGGTTTTCTGAAGGTAGTAGGCTCTGCCATCCTTCTTCTGGCCCCAGGCAGCTCCCAGGCAGGTGCAAAGCAGGCCCAATTCACAGCCACCCCTAAAGGGAGAATAGCAGGGACCTGGGTTGTTTCAGTTTTTCATTATTATGAATAATGCTATGTTCCTCTGTATCACACAGCTGTTTCCTATTGTCATGATAAGTGAAGGGCATGTGTACAGGAGCTTCCTATAGCTCAGATAGCCCAGAAAGGCACAGAGCTTGGAGGTGGAGATAATGCACAATGAGGAGGCAAACCCATCTCCAAACTATTAAGAACTTCTGAGATAGCATGGTCTTTATAATTAGTGTGGGTCATTTCTTTTTTTCTTTTTTCTTTTTTCAGTTGTAGTGGGGATTGAACCCAGGGGCACTCTACCACTGAGCTACACTCCTAATCATTTTTCTTTTTTAATTTATTTTTATTTCATTGATTGATTGATTGTGGTATTGGGGATTGAACCCAGGGCCTTGTGCATGTGAGGCAAGCACTCTACCAACTGAGCTATATCCCTAGCCCCTTATTTTTTTATTTTGATACAGGATTTCACTAAGTCGCCCAGGCTAGTCTCGAACTCACAATCCTTCTGCCTCAGCCTCCTGGATACTGGGATTACAGATATGTACACTGCCCCTAGCTGCATGGATCATTTCTGCATATTATGCACCTGACCACTGCTGGGCCCCACCAACTACATTAAGCCCCTCCTTCAGGCAACACCAAGTCCTAAAGGCAGAGAGGGTGGCACCTACATGATAGGCACCTTAGTTTCTTGTTGGTACATGCCTAGGCTTAAGGCCTGGCCCTTGTCATTGCCTACCAGGGCTTGAACATGGGTTTTCAGGACAGTTCTGAGTTGACTTTTGTCCCTGCCTTGACACCTATGGTCACCATGTACCAGGGAAGCATAGAGAATTGGCAAGATGCCCTTCATACCCTCATGTTTCCCAGCATGGTATTCTGCTCATGTTCATACAAGCACCTTAGCATAGGTACCAGATCCTGGGCTGGACCTTGCCTTTTTTGCTTTTTTTTTTTTTTTTTAGTTTTTTGTTTGTTTGTTTGTTTTATTTTTTGCAGTATTGGGAAGGATCCTGGGGCCTTATACATGCTAGACAAGTTCTCTATCTCTGAGGTATATTCTCAGTTCCAAAGCTTATCTTTTAGCAGTCTATATGATGATATCCATTCTAATCTGATCACTGAATTTTAATTTGCAGAGGAAATGTTGAAAATCCTTATTTTTGTTTTTGCAGAAAAGTCAAGTACTTTAACATCAAAGCCAGCTTCATCAATAAGCACACTGTTTGTGGCATCGCAAAAAGTGGGAAAGAGGTAAATGCTCACCTTGCCCCTCATGATTCTCTCCAGGCATTCTGAGGACCTGGGGTCCAGTCTTGTTCAGCTTAAGTGTTGTTCTAGTAATAAGCACTGCTGGAATTAAACTAACGACTTCCTTTGAGATCACACTTCTTCAAAATGATTAAATAGGGCTGGGAGTTTAGCTCTGTGATAGAGTGCTTGCCTAGCATGCGTCAGATCCTGGGTTTCAACCCTAGCTCTGCCAAAAAAAAAAAAAATATATATTTAACAGTTTGTGCATGGGATGCACATCATGTCAAGCTGCCCAGCTATTCAGGGTGATGGGCTGACAGGGAGCATGATTACAACCTCTTTGCAGAATTTTGTAGTGATTTGAGGAGATAAGATGCCTGCTGGGTACTTGTAAATTGTGAAGTGCTTGGAGTTGGAGTATCACCCTGTCCCTTCCACCTGTAACCTCCTGTTGTCTCCTGTCTGAAAGACTTTTGACAGATCCCTGCTCTGTATGACTCTGAGCTACTGGTAGGGGGCTATAGTGAAGGGTACTGTTGTCCTGCCGTACCAGCAGGCATTTGAGCCTTTTGTTGGGTGATCATAGTATACAGTTTGATCTGCAGCTTTCTTGGTTTATTCTCAGACTCTGCTTTCAGCTGACCACATCGTCATTGCTACTGGAGGACGGCCGAGGTACCCCACACATGTGAGTGTCCCCAAAACCCAGCTTCCCCTGCACCCCTGAGCAAATTAATGGTCCTTAGAATTACATGCTTCCCACATCAAAGCTTTCACCCCTTTGTTTCTTCTATACATCTTTATTTCCTTTTCAGTTCTCTCTCGAATACATTCTGCTGAAACTGGAGGTCTCCAGAGATCTCTTCTATTGCTGAATCCTCAGAATTATTCTTATTGCACTCTTTAGTTAGATCCTGGGTATCACTGAGCCTGTTTTCCTTTCATACTAGTGTTCCTTCTCCTCTTCCATTTTCTCCCCTCCTCCTCCTTTTCTTCTTCCTCCTCCTCATTCTTTTCTCCTCCCTCTCCCCTCCCTTTCTTTCTCTTCCTCTCTTCTTCCCTCCCTCCCTCTCTATTTTTAAGTGATAGAGTCTCACTGTTTTGCTCAGGCTGGCCCTGAACTACTCTGCTCAAGTGACCCTCCTCTTCAGTTTCTTTATAGCTGGGACTGCAGGTTCATGCCAACACATCCAGCCCTAGTGACCTTTCTTCTAAGTCTTCATTGTTGACTCTTCCTTTTCTCTTTAACCTCAGAATGTTGGAGCATGGAAAATTTAAGCCTTTTTTATCTTTCTTCTCCTCCCCCACTTTTAAAAAATTGGAAATAAATTCAAATATCCTAAATTCACCCTTTTATAAATACAATTCAATGGCTTTTAGTACATTCAGAGAGTTGCACAACCATCAGTCACCAACTTCCATCTTCAGAACTTTTTAATCATCCCAAACAAAGTCTCTGCACCCATTAAACAACAGTTCTCCGTCCTTTTCTCCCCCAGCCCCTGATGGCCACCATTCTCCTTTCTGTCTCTATGAGTTTGAGTATTCTAGATACACAAAAAAGTGGGTTCACACAGTTTGTGTTTTTGTGACTGGCTTATTTCAAAGGCTCATCCATGTTGTTGTAGTATGTGCCAGAATTTCCTTTATTTTTTAAGCCTGAATGATACTCCAGTGTATGTGTAGATCACATTTTATTTATCTACTTGTCCACAATGAATATCTCAGTGGTTTGCTGTTTTTTAACTATTGTGAACTGTGCTGCTGTGGCTATCTGTGTAAAAGTTTTCTGGGGGATTTGGTTTTTATTTCTCTTGTGAATTTACTTAGGAAAGGAATTCAGATCATATGGTCACTGTAACCTTTTGAGGAACTACCAGATGGTTTTTCAAAGTGGCTATACCATTTAGCAGTGTACAAAGCGGTGTACATTCCCTCCAGCAATGAACAAAGGCCACAATTTCTAGTTTCTTTACATATCTTATAATTTTTTGTGATAAGTTGAACTTTTCAAATAATGTGAGTTATTGTGATAATGCTGGAAATTAGATTCTCCTTCCTCTCTAGAATTTTTCTGTTGTTTTGCTGTTTGGTGACTTATTTGAACTAATTTTATAAAGTATTTGTTCTTTGTTATATGTGGCTACTGAAGTCTGCTTGCTCAGTGAAAGACTTAAGTAGAGAGTTCCTTAAACATCTGGAACCATGAAACCTCCCAGTCTTTGTTGAGGACTATGTCCATTTTCAGGGTGCTGTCAACACTCAGTTGGACAGTAAATAACTCTATTTTGCTTCCTGCTTGTGCAGAGATTAAGGTTAGCCCAAGATGAGAGCCCTTAGTCTTTCCTGATGTGTGCACAACCCAATGCATTTGCCTGGCCTTCTAGATACCCAGAGATATTGTGGAGCTTTTCAGAGCACCTGTGAATATTCATTCCTCATTTTTTCTTTTTCAACTTCTTGGTTCACCTGTTGTTTGCCTTACCTGTTATCCATCACCTCAGGAAGCCATGAAGATAAAATGTTGGCCAGATGCCCAGGGAGAGGCTTTTAGCACTGGCCATACTGGAGTAAAGTTATGACCTACCAGCCAGCTCAAATGCTAGTGTTCTTTGGGAAAGAGGCTTTGTAAGGCACCCAGCTCTGTCTTGCTATCTCTGGTGCTGTCATTTTTTAAGACTGGGAGACAGGACTAGGGTAAGTTAAACTCTCCTCATAGAGATGCTGTTTTTATTGACTTCCCTCTGTTTCTCTTGATTCAGTATTCCCTGTGTTGCTGTGAGTTCTTAGTTGATTTTTCAGAGCTCTGAAAAGGTGAATCTGGCCAGACCCAATGGTGAATGCCTGTAATCCAAGTGACTTGGGAGGCTGAGGCAGGGGGATCACAAGTTCAAAGCCAAACTCAGCAACTTAGCAAGGCTTAAAGCAACTTAGTAAGGCTTGAAGCAACTTAGCAAGACCCTGTCTCAAAATAAAAAATAAATGCTTGACATGGTGGTACACACCTGTAATCTCAGTGGCTCAGGAGACTGAGGCAGGAAGATGGAAAGTTCAAAGTGAGTTCAAAGCCTCAGCAACTTAGCAAGGTCATGAGAAACTTGGTGAGACTTTGTGTCAATATAAAATACAGAAAGGGCTGGGGATGCAGCTCAGTATTAAGTGCCCCTGGTTCAAGCCTCAGTACCAAAAATAAATAAAAATAAAAAGGGCTGGGGATGTGGCTCAGTTCCTCAGGATCTCAGTCTCAGATCCACATTGAGCACCCCTGGGTTCAATCCCCTTTACAGAAAAAAAAAAAAATTTGAATCTGAACTTTCTTGCCGGTTTTTTCTCTGCTTTCACAGAGGGTTGGATTTTGGGAGGTCCTATTCTGCTGACATCATCGCCTGGCCCAGTCTTCTGGGATGAGGGGGCTTTTCTGTCCTCCTGGAGGGCAGAGTTGAGGAAGGGGCCACAGAGTGAGCTTGGGTGGGGAAATGGAGGAGCTGCTGCAGGGAAAGTAAGAAGCAGGAACAGGAATTTGGCTAAGGCTACATCCTCACAAGTCTCTCAGGGACCTAGATGTTACCAGCCCTCAACATGTTAGCTGCAAAAAAGCTCATGAAGCCCACAGGTCTCATGGTCCTGGAAGCCACACCAGCCTCTGATTAGACCCAGGTGGAGCTTGGATGGAGGAAGAACAAAGGGTTCCTTTTTAGATGGGAACAGAGACGTGTGAACATCTAAACCCTCAACTTCTACTTCTGTTCTGTGCTTGCCCTAAAAAATGGGGAAGAAAAGAGACCAGAGTAATATGAGTTCCCCCAGTCCTCAGAGGGCCATGGGACCTCTGTCTGGCAAGTCAAAAAGAGCAATCTCTAAGGTGGCACTAGCTGCTTGTGCACAGAGGTGGCCCTTAGGCAGACTGCTTGGCTCCATAGATGACACAGTGCCATCGTTCAAGTTTGATTCAGTGGACAGGATTGAAGTGACCCCATCAGCCAGGAGTAAGGCTCTGGTGGTTGTAAGTCCCCAGGGCCATAGTCACCTCAGCTCCTTAAGGGTGCTGAGCAGAGCTGTATATGCCCCCATGCTTCAGTGCCCTATGGACATTCCTTGGCCTGCTCACCCTGCTGTACTGCTGGTGTCTCTGCTTTCCCACAGGAAACTGGAGCTACAGTTCCCAGGTCCTGGAGAAGGCAGCTCAGTGGCTGATCCACTCTCTCCACTGCCCACTGCTATCCCTGGTGTGCATTCCTTGAGTGCATGCCAAAACTTGCTTCTGTTTAAGTCCCTTTGATTTTCAGACCTTTTGTTTTTCCTTGTGCAAACTGGAGAAATTCATGACTTTATTTTATTTTGGCCAGTTGGAATTGTAAACTGTTTGAAATCTATTTCCTCTCCACCAGCACATCTTAACTTTCATAAGGCCAAGAGGATGCATGACCTTGGGACTCCCCCACCTGCTTAGCTGCCCCATATCAAAGGATCTATATCATTCCTGGGCACAGAACTCATCCTAAATGGTCTCAGAGGGATTTCTGGTGTGTCTAGCCTGCAATCTCGTGTCCTCAGAACCATCAACTCCCCATGTCCTACCTGTTCTCAGCCCGTGATGCTTATCCTCTTCTTCTGTCCTACTCTGGTGCCTGGCCCCTGTCACTGGGACATTGCAGAGCTCTCCTGATCTCTGATTTTCTTTCTTTCCTTCCTACGAGCCCAAGGCCTTGAGCGTGCCAGGCAAATACTCCACCACTGAGCTAAAACCCCAATCTCTGATTTTCCAACCTCTTTACCCACTTCTCTCTCATACTGGACCCCCAGACCTGAGCATTACTCCCTTGGTCTGCATGCCCCCATCTCCTCCCTTACTGAGTACCCAGACAGAGTCATGGGAGGACCAGCTCTCTGTCTGTGTGGCCCCTACAGCTGCCATGCTTTTCTAAGGCCCCATGCTCTTATCTGCATCAAGGTCAAGTGGAAAATTTCAGAGAGCAGAAAGAGCCACCCAGGCAGACACACACTGAATTTGATATATAGACAGGTCACTTTCTATCCCCAGAGAGGTTACAACCTGAAGACAAGTTCCATTGTTCAAGTTTGAAGAGAAACCTTCTCCACATGTGGGCTGGGTGTGATTCTGGTTGTTTCTTCAAAAGAAGCATTCTCTTTGAGGAGGTTCTTGGGACAGACCAAATGGCATTCCTGTCATATTGATCTTCTTTTCTTTGATAGATTGAAGGTGCCTTGGAATATGGAATTACAAGTGATGACATCTTCTGGCTGAAGGAATCCCCTGGAAAAACGTAAGGTCTAGCATGCCCAGGATGAGAATCCTCTTTTTGCTCGCTAGCATCAGTGTCTGTTAGAGTCCATGGCACTGTTCACTTCTCAGTCCATTCTTTCCAGTTTTTCTAGAAGAATGAAGAAAGAGGGGCTGGGGATGTAGCTCAAGTGGTAGCGCGCTCACCTAGCATGTGTGAGGCACTGGGTTCGATTCTCAGCACTACATAAAAATAAAATATTGTGTCCACCTAAAACTAAAAAATAAATATTAAAAAAGAATGAAAAAAAGAAAGACTTTCATGTGTGCCTCTCTGCAGGGCTGTTGATGCTGTGTGCTATGACTGTTTTAGAAGTTATAGCACAAATGTCACATAAAGTGAGTCAGCCATTTATTCTCTAGGTCAGTAGTTGTTCAGCATGGTTCCCCGGAACCCTAGAGTTCCTTAGGGACATCAGGGAGGGCCTCAATCAAATGTCCTCAGTATCATTTGCTTGAAATCTAGAAAAAGATCCAAAAGCCTCAGAAGTTACATCCCAGTTGATACCAGCAGCATGCAGTTGGCACACATGCATTAAGTACGTCCACATGCTCACAGTGCAACTGGTCCAGGGGTCCCAGGTCCAGGCAGCTTCTGATGGCTACAAGTGTGACTTCCAGCTTGCAGGGACCAGAGGAACCACCAGAGGGCAGCAGAGGCTTGTTTGATAGCAGTGTTTGGCCATAAGGAAATCCTGGTAGAAAAGTCCCAGAGATGGGCAGTGTGTGTGTGTGTGTGTGTGTGTGTGTGTGTGTGTGAGAGAGAGAGAGAGAGAGAGAGAGAGAGAGAGAGAGAGAGAGAGAGAGAGAGAGAATGCAGGTGTGTATGTGTGTGTGTGTGTTGAAATGTATTTGTGGGGAGTGTCTGTGTGTGTCACATGCTCTACTTGCCTTCAGTAATTCACACTAAATGAGGTGGCATCTTTGGGATCAGGTCTGGAGTCTCTTAAATGGTTGTGGTATTGTTTCTTTGACCTTTCTATCATGAATGAATATCTCAGTAGTTTATCTTTCTTACCTTGTATCATAAATATTACTTATTCATTTTTTCAATTATTAAAATGATGAAAAATACACATAAAATTTACCATTTTGCTGGTGGCATGTGCCTGTAATCCCAGCTAGGCTGGAGGATCACAAGTTTGAGATCAGCCTCTTTAACTTAGAGAGGAGGCCAGCCTCCTTAACTTAGAGAGACCTTATCTCTAAATAAAATTTAAAAAGGACTGAGACCAGCTGGGGATATAGCTCAGTGGTAAGGCACTTGCCTAACATATGTGAAACCTTGGGTTCAATCCCGAGCACTGCAAAAAAAAAAAAAAAAAAAACAGTGGGGGGTTGCTGGGGGCGATATAAGACAGTGGTAGAGTGCCCCTGAGTTAAATCTCTAGTATCATAAATTTTTATCATTTAGACCTTTTATTTATTTTTTAAACATATATATATATGTATATATATATATATTTATATTTTAGTGGTAGTTGGACACAATACCGTATTTTATTTTTTTTATTTTTAAATGGTTCTGAGGATCGAACCCAGGACCTCACATGTGCAAGGCAAGCACTCTACCGCTGAGCCACAACCCCAGCCCCATCATTTTGACCTTTTAAAGTCTACAGTTCAGTGATGTCAAATACACTAATAATTGTTGGGTAACTATTACCATCATCCATTTCCAGAACTCTTCATTTTTGCAAATTGAAACTCTGCAGTACACCTCATCCCCACACCCCAGCCTCTGGAACCACCATTCTATTTTCCATTTCTATGAATTTGACAATTCTCACTACCTCCTGTAAGTGAACATACACAGTATTTTTCCTTTTATGACTGGCTTATTTTGCTGAACATCATGTCTTCTAGCTTTCTGCATATTGGAGAATGCATCAGAATTTCTTTTCTTCTTAAAATTGAATAATATTGCATTGTATATATCACATTTCATTTGTACATTCATCCAGTATGTGCTTGGGCTCTCCCACCTCTTGGTTTTTATGAATAATAGTGCCTTGAATATGGGTATACACATATCTATTTGAGTCCCTGCTTTTGATTCTTTTGGATATGTACCCAGAAGTAGATTTGCTAGATTTATGGTAACTGTACTTTTTAAGAAACTTTAGCTTTATAAGAAACTGCTAAACTGTTTTCCATAGCAGCTTCAGCATCTTACATTCTCATTAACAGTGCAGTGGGGTTAGAATGTCTCCATATCCTCTCCAGTTATTTTCTGGTCCTGATGGGATGAGGTGGTCTTATACATTTTATATATACCTTTCAGGGGTCTTTCCTACACGTAGAAAAGCTGACTCCAAAGGCAGATGCCCTTCAACCTCAACATATGGCTGGCTATACCCTGTCCTACATGTATTTCTGCCTACTTCTCCATTATCCCCCATAACTTGGGCATCAGCTTTTATTTATTTATTTATTTTTGTACTAGAGATTGAACTCAGGGGTGCTTAATCACTGAGCTATACCCCTAGACCCTTTTATTTTTTGAGATAGGGTCTCCCTAAGTTGCTTAGGGCCTCACTAAATTGCTGAGGCTGGCCTTGAACTTGTGATCCTCTGCCTCAGCCTCTTGAGTTGCGGGAATTATAGGCATGTGCCATCACTCCTAGTGCAACAGCTTTTTTATAAGATATAAAATAGAAAGGACCCTCTCTTCCCATTCCAGTGGAATGGTCATGATACCTGTTTGCCTATGGCACTTCCATCCTCCCCCTAAAATTGTAGCTGAGCTCATCCTAGTTTGTATCTGCCTGTCTGCTGCCTCTCACAGGATCCCCAGATTAAGGTTTATCTTTTGAATTGGTGATATTTTTTTCAAATTTTTTATTTATTTTTGTGGCAGTGCTAGAGATCAAACCCAGGGCCTTATAAATACTAGGCAAGCACATTACCATTAAGCTACATGCTCAGCCTAAATTTTTGTCACATTATCACTATTTCCTTTTTTCCTTTATGCTGTAATTTTTAGGTTTTTTGTTTGTTTGTTTGTTGTTGTTTGTTTATTTTATTTTTTCAATGCTGGGAATTGAACCCAGGGCATTGCACATCATATGCTGGGCAAGACTACATCACTGAGCTATATCCCCATTCCCTTAACTGGTCGTGTGTGTGTGTGTGTGTGTGTGTGTGTGAGAGAGAGAGAGAGAGAGAGAGAGAGAGAGAGAGAGAGACTGGGGATTGCCATCCTTCTGACAGGCTCCTGAGTCACTGGGATTCTAGGCATATACTGCCACACCTACCCCCTTATCTGTTTTTGTTGTTGTTATTGTTTGTTTGTTTTTACCTTTTACTCCTTTTACTGTCTGATAGGTTATATGGGCCACAATCAGTCATCTTTTTGAGTATTTATTGGCTGTATTTGAAATTGAGAGTGTGTTCTATGAGCATGTGAGTATGTACATGTTTGTGTGAATTAACTGATTGGTCCTTGACCTGCTTTCTATTTGGTTGTTGATGACTTTTTTTTTTCCCCCTGTACCAGGAATTGAACTCAGGGGCACTTAGCTACATCCCCAGTCCTATTTATATTTTATTTTGAGGCAGGTTTTCTCTTAAGTTAGTTAGGGCCTTGCTAAGTTACTGAGACTGGCTTTGAACTATTGATCCTTCTGCCTCAGCCTCCCAAGTTGCTTGGATTATAGGCGTGCACCACTGTGCCTAGCTGATTCTCCTTCCCTCCCCCCACCAATTCCCTTATCTTTTTCTTATCTTCCAGCTGTTTTGTATTTTAGAAATTCGACCCTGTGTCATACATGGTGCAGATTTTCTCAGCTTCTCATGTCTTTGAACTTGTGATGTACAAATGGTTTCCTTTTTTTTTTTTTAATGTAACTTAAATCTCTTTTTACATTTAATGGCTTTTAGATTTATTACATGCTCAGAAAGGCCTGCCTCACCTCCAAGATTTTTTTTTTTTTACACTGATTTCTCTTGGTAGAATTTATTCATGCTTTCCAGCTTCTTCATAGTGCTTTATGTGCGAGACCCATCATGAAACAATCTTGAAGATTCAATAACCCTGGAAGCCAGGCCCTGCCAGACACCTCTGTCCAGGCTGAGGCCTCCCATAAGCTCAGGTCAGTGTCTTGAACTGTCACCAAAGACTAGCATTTTCTGAGTTATGATCAGAAAATAGGTGTACACAGACTGTGGATGTACACAGCAGTGTAGCCCAGGAAGGACCTCCCTCTAGTGAGATGGTACAGGATTGGGGGACCTCTCCTATGTGACCTTGTTCTAGGGGCAGCCCACTCAGCTAGGAAGACAAGGCTTCAGATATTTTGGTCAAGAAAGAAACTTCAGTGTTTATTTTCTTCAGGAAAAAAAAATTCAAAGTTTTTTGTTTTTTTTTTAAAGCTCTTTCGTTTAGAAGGAATCTAGGTATGTTATTGTTAAGAAAAAAAGTGTTTGCAATGTATCAGTCACCCGTTTAGTTCTGAGCATGATTTATGTGAGGAAATGGTTTTTTTAAAAATTAAGCTGGAGATATATCCCTGTACGATGCTTCTGTGAAAATGCAGCTTTTGTCCAGCGCTGTTAATGCAAGTTGTAACAGTGTAATATGGGAGTCAGTGTTTACATGTTACATTCCTCCGCAGCAGTCAAAATAAGCCCGGAGGGTCTACAGTAGCATTTCTGTATTTTATCAGCTTGGGCTGGGGCTGAGGGGGAGGCCTCCACTCACACTTGGAGGGGCTGTTTCTGCCAGATTTATTTGCCTTATAAATATTCCCCATGTTTATTTTAACTCGCCTTTAAAATGGAGCTGAAATTAATATGGACCTTAGGGCTGCCCCTCTGGCCCCAGAGTGCCCTGGAGTCTGGTGGGGACATTTTGACTTGGCCCCATCCAGGAGGCCAGTTCAGTGGCTGAGGATATTCAGCTTCCTTGGGCCTCTGTCTGCAGTGGACACTACATCTACTGGTTGACATTTCGGTACTAAGGATGGGTCATTTCTGTCCCAA